TCTGATTCTGATCATACTGAGCTGATTTTTAATGTGTACAAGTAGAAAATGGGAGATTTCACTGTTAAAATCCAACTTTTTTACGCCATATTAGCTTTAAAGTGTTTCAAGCTAAAGCTCACTTCCAGCTGTTGACAGCTGGAAGTCACGGCGGTCTTTTGTCAGTTTCAGTTTCAACACCTTCATGTTTACTGTGATTAATTTGTTCTGACAACGAAGTCAAACATGTGGAATAAAATAGATCTGCTGCATTGATAATGATCGTTTCCGAGTCAGACAATAGTGTAGGAGTGCAATGCTACACGGGTTGAGTATATTCATTTGTAATTAAAAAAAAAAAAAAAACAACAGCTGCCTCTCTTCACTGTCTGTGCTTTTATCAGACCTCTCCTCTATCAGCATCCAGCTTCTCTGACAGCGATAAGAAAAACTCTAACAAGAAAAGAATTAGACCTTAAACCTGAGTGTGATTTTGAGCCCTGCAGGTCTCCGTACACTGGAGCCTGACATCATGGCTGGGTCATTAGCCTCTGTTCCTCTGGCTTCTTTAACTCGGTGTGCCATCTGTCATTCAGCATGTCTTTCATCTGTCTGTCTGTAAAGATGAAGCGTATTCTAAGACAAATTGGCTCCACTACAGCAGCTGTTAGAAGAAATGCAAAGCTTAAAACTACAATGACTTTGTGAGGGCAAATGAAAAAAGGAAAAAAAAAAAAAAAAGAGTACACAGGTACTCATGTCATAACATCCATAAATCTCACCAGCGCTCTCCTCTAGTGTTGGATTTCAAGCTTTTAGAGTCTAAAACTTCTACCGCGCTCAGTCGTCTCTGTCACGTGTCTGAACTGACTGTGGCGCCTCAGCTCGCTCATGGATTCACCTGTTCTGTCGAGCTTCACCTCTCAGGCTACTGAGAAATAGCGTTTGTTAAAGACTGCTAAAAAACATAAATATTGAGTAAACAAGAAAATTACACAATTTTTCAAAAAGCTACCATCCTCATCTTAACATGAAACGAGCCACAAAGGCTGGAGTTTAGCATAATTACAAATATCAGTGGGATTTTGAATGAGGTTTTGAACTTCCAGTTTCACTTCCGCTCTTTATATCAGCAACAGTCAATGCTTTATTTCACACTAAAGCTTAATGAAAGTATAAACGTCTAGAGCAGAAGGAAGTGTTGCTTTTAAAAACTGATTGGGTGGATCTGGTGGAAAGACATCATCGAGTCAAAATGCTTGTTTTTTTTTTGTTTTTGTTTGTTTTTTTTCTAAGTGAAAGCCTCTCACGTGCAAACTCAGTCCATCAGCTCTGGGCACGCCAGTGTTTCCTCAGGATAATTAATATTAATATTCTCTAGCTCACAGCTCACACTGCAGACACGACACAGTACCACACCTCCCCTCCTCGTGTGCAGAACTACAGAGGGTAACGCTACAATCAACTTAAGTAATATCCCAACATCCCCCCAGTGACACACACACACACACGCACACACACACACACACACACACACAGAAAAGTTGATTTAAAAAAATGCATGATCAAATGAAAATCAACGAATGCACTTTTAGAAGATGATGAAATATGTCCAACTGAAACACATAGATGACTGACACACACACACACACACACACACACACCACTTACACAACACACAACACACACACACACACACCATAAAGTGTGCTGGTGTGAGTGTTAGTGTGTGTGTGTGTGTGTGTGTGTGTGTGTGTGTGTGTGTGTGTGTGTGTGTGTGTTTGGGGGGTTTACAGACAAGGTAGAAAAAACAAACAAACACTGATTTAAAAAAAAACTCCCATGAGTCCTTGGGCTCTGTTGAAACCCCTTCTATCCCATATCAGGTTGTTCATACCGGTTGGGGGGGGGTGGTGATGTCAGCAATGACATCACTTGATCACAGATCAACTGATGATGTCATTCAGTTATTCCCCCGTCTTCCTGTCTGAGTCCAGCGGAGTGTCGAAAGAAGAATTACAGGAAGAAACTGCCCTTCTGTCTCCCTGTGAGAGAAACAGGGGATGTGGTGGGGGTGGGGGTGG